CCCCAAAACCCCAAAACCCCAAAACCCCAAAACCCCAAAACCCCGGTTTTCGTAGGCACAGTTGAAAATTTGGTGGTGGTAACTAATGCTACGTATGAAGGAAGAATTTAAAAATTTGATAGAAAATTTTTAATTGGTGATTACTGCTTTCTCGAAGGAATTTTAGTAAAGCTAGCAAAATTTTGAAATTTAGGTGGTAGAGTTACATTATTTTGGATATCGTAGTAAGCAGAATAAGAAATCATGATTGCCAAAATAAGGCATGGAAATGGTCAATACCTGAAATGTTCTTATACTAACCTCCATCAACCTAGTATGATTTATTTTTCACTTAAATTTGAATTGGAAACCAATAATGGAGTTAAGTAAACTATTAACACTTTGGAGCATTTATGACTCCTTCATAACTGTAAACCAAGATTGTCAAAATCGTAACGAAATTTAGTCAGAAATGACATCTAACTATTAGAAACCTAATGAATGAGAAAATTTATTAGGACAAATTAGCTTGAAGATGATAGTGGACATCCTCAAATCCGTTATTCATTTGGTGTCTCCAAAAAGAGAACCTGTCTTCCATCCTATAGACGGAAGCAATGTAGTCCCTTAGATTTAGTTTAAACTGAGCTGATGAATCAGGAGCTTTATCAGAGTTTGAGGAGGTAGAACTGATAGCAGTAGCCATTATTTCCACCAATTTGTATAACTCGGTATCCTGTTTGTTGCCTTGATAGCTTTCTATCGGGATCGCACTTTCCAAATTAAGCATGAAGGATACCATGCTATTATCAACTATCATCGTCTTATTGAGGTCTCTTCCAAGACAAGTTAGGTCTTTGATGTAATTCCCACATACTTCAAGTCATGACTCCCTATAAAGCCGGTGATGGATGTACTTCTGGTCTGGGTCAAACCTATCTATCACCATGTTAGCATAAGGAGATTCGGAAGCAGTGAAAACAACAACTTCAAAAAATTGGCTGACTCTCTCCAGAAATTCAAGTAAATAGGGGCGGTATGAAATATAGATGTTATTTAAAACTTCGTCACACCCTTCGAAAGGAGCGATGCTACAGTGAACAAGTGTCTCATCCAGATCTAGGACCAGGCAATACTCTGGTATGTCCGCAGTAGAAGGTGGCAACAGATTCTTAGGACCATTCTCTTTAATCCTTAGGAGATCATCAGATACAAAATCATTAAATTGCAAGGATTGGATGATTCCTTGGTCCATAGGAGATATCAACGTCATAGGATTAAATTCCTGTGGGGCTTCATCTATCTGATTCGTGAGGGATAGACTTTCATTAGTCTCAATAGTCTCAGTAATATCATCCTTCTTCACCTCTATTTCTGGTGTACCTTTAGCTGTTTCTTCGTCCTGGATAGGTCTTTCATAAACTGTCAGTTTACTTCTTTCCCGTTTCTGAAGTAATTCTTTTTCCTCGTTATGAAGTTGTGTTTGCTTCTTGATCATCTTCTGAAGAGTGCTAGTTGAGAGGGCAGGCTTAGATTTCTTGTTATTTCTTGTTTTTCTGCGCCTTTTTAAAGCAGTCTTGTTTCTATTCTTAAACTCGATGTTTGAATCGATTCTTTCGATTTTGAATACTTTTTGCATTTATTATTTATATTAATTTTTTAGTAAATTTTCTTATATTCAATTCAATAACCAATAAGAATAAAGGGGTTTTGGGGTTTTGGGGTTTTGGGGTTTTGGGGTTTTGGGGTTTTGGGG